ATAATATTGGAGATGCGGAATGTCCAAATCCAATTGTTAAGGGAAATGATGAGGATTTGGTTGACATAAAATAAGAATTAAAGTGGCCACGAATTTATGAAAAAGGAGAAATATATAATAGAAATATAAAAGTTATCGACAACATAGTTGCCTCTACAGTTACTCTTACTATCTCCGAAAATAATTTGGATCCAGAACCTAAGTCGGTAGCAGAGTGCTTGAAGCACTCGGACTAGGTGAGATGGAAAGTGGCAATTGAGGTTGAGTTGAACTCGCTAAAGTATTTTGAAACTGTAGTCCATATATCCCTGCAGGATATAAATGGGTATTCGTAAGAAAAATAAATAAGAATTGTAAGGTGGTGAGATATAAAGCGAGATTCATAGCTCAATGGGTTTACGCAGAGATCCGGCATCGATTTAGATATAAAATATTCTCCTATTAGTGATTGTATTACGTTCCGCAAGTTAATACCTATGGCAGAAATTATGAATTTATATATGCACTATATGTACGTCATGACCATATTTTTATATGTGTCATTAGACGCTAATATTTTTATATGAAAGTCCCTGATGGACTTAAAATTCCTGAATTGAGAGAAAATGAGAATCGTAACATGTATAGCATTAAATAATAAATGTTGTTATACGAATTGAAACAGTCGGGTAGAATGTGGTATAACCGACTGAGTAAGTTTCTCCTGAAGAGGAGATATGCAAATAATGATGTCTGCCCTTGTGTATTTATAAAGAAATTCGAAAATGGCTTCTGTATTATATCAGTCTATATTGATGATATAAATGTTATTGGAACGCACAAGGAGCTTACAGAAGCTAGCTCATGCCTAAAGATGGAGTTTGAAATAAAAGACTTGGGAAAAACCAAGTTTTGTCTTGGCCTGCAGATCGAGCATTTTCCCAGAAGGATTTTTTCTACACCAGTCAACCTATGTGGAAAAGGTTTTGGAAAGATTTTATATGGATAAATCGCATCCACTTAGCACACCAATGGTCGATCAGTCCCTCGAAGTAGATAAAGACTCATTTAGACCCAAAGAAGATAATAAAGAAATGTTAGGGCCAGAAGTTCCCTATCTGAGCACCATTGGAGCACTTCTTTATCTTGCAAATTGCACCAGGCCTGATATTATATTTGCGGTGAACTTGCTAGCAAGGTATAGTGCTTATCCTACAAGGAGGCAATGGAATGGCGTTAAACATATCCTTCGCTATCTTCAATGTACAAAAGATCTTGGACTATTCTATAATAGAAACCAAGATATGACATTGGTGGGCTATTAGTACGCTGGCTACATATCTGATCCCCATAACGTCAGATCCCAGACTGGTTATGTTTTTCTCTGTTGTGGTACTGTCGTTTCTTAGAGGTCTGTTAAGCAGACCATGTTGACTACTTATTCTAACCACTCAGAGTTTATCGTTTTATATAAGGCCTCACGAGAATGTGTATGATTAAGATCGTTGATACGACATATTTATGGCTCGTGTGGTCTAGCGAAAGATGATATTACCCCCACTATCCTTTATGAGGACAATGCAGCTTGTGTTGCACAAATGAGCAGTGGATATGTAAAAGGAACCATGACAAACATATTGTGCCAAAATTCTTTTATCCACATGAGCTCCAAAAGAATGGCAAAATCACCATCGAAAAAGTTCGCTCAAGTGACAATCTTGCAGATTTGTTCACTAAATCTCTACCTACATCAACTTATGAGAAATATGTTCACTATCTTCTTCAGGGGGAGCAATTTCTTAAAGAATAATCCTGAAGATTGGACCCTAAAGGTCTATTATCATATTTTGCCCCTTTTCGCTAAGTTTTGTCCCACTGGGTTTTTCTTAGCATAGACTCAGAAGATTGTCATCATCAGGGGAGCGAATTTTCAATGCAATCCCGAAGATTACGCCTTGAAGGACTATAGTAGTACTCTTTTTTTTCTTTGCTAAGTTTTGTCCCACAGAGTTTTCTTAGCTAAAGGTTTTTAATGAGGCAACTAATGCAACATAAGTTTGGATCCCGAAGATCTATAGAAGGTTTTTAATGAGGCAACTAATGCAACATAAGTTTGGATCCCGAAGATCTATAGTTGTACTCTTTTTTCCTTTGCTAAGTTTTTGTCCTACATGAACATAAGTTTGGATCCCGAAGATCTATAGTTGTACTCTTTTTTCCTTTGCTAAGTTTTTGTCCTACATGATTTTTCTTAGCGAAAGCTTTTTAACGAGACAACTGATATAACAGAAATAATGTATGTATGTCATGTACTCTTTTCCTCGACTAGTTTTTTCCACTGGGTTTTTCTAGCGAGGTTTTTAACAAGGCATTGACATTTCGAAGTAATGTCTAAGGGGGAGTGTTGAAATCTAAAAGACATTTTGTTGATATCTAAAAGACATTTTGTTGATATCTAAAAGACAAAATGTATGTGGACATTACTTTATATGTGGACTATTAACTTCATGTCCTTTTGTCTTCCATCATGTATCTATAAATTGTACGATGTATGGAAATAGAATTGATGAATAAAAAGATTACAATTTCTCTTCTTCTCTTGTCTCTTGTTTCATTTTTTTAGTATATTACAACAATAACAATATAATATTTTAAAAAGTTAAGGGTAATATTGACTATGGAAAGATTTTCCCCAACTCGTACTTTTAAAGGGAGTATGAATGATTTCTCCACTCAAGCTCAAATACTGACTTGATCGTCGAAGGAGCCACCAAAGAACCCAACTTCGACCTCTCACGAGTTCTTCATGTGCAGGGAAGAACAGAGGGCCCCAGAGCTAGTTATTTGAAGGAGCTTGAGGACCCGAACACCTCCATAATCCACCTGCAAAACCGTCGTTTGATAACTGACATCAACAAGCAGGTTATAGAAAAATCCTATATAAAATATGATAGATATTAGGGGTATTGGTAATTTTTTTTTAAAAATAATGAGATCATAAAATAACTCGGGTTATTTTCACAAATCTATTGGGTTTTTTATGTAGCCCCATCAACTTTTTTTATCTCATAGATCCCCCTAAATTTGAGAGTTTCTTACAAAATCCTCCCAATTTTGGACTTTTCTTGTACCTGCATGCATGTAAGTGATAAATAACTAAACTGTCATCAACAAAAATTCTCAATTTAGTAATTTGTATTTCACAATTATAGGTTATGTATCTCTCCTTCAATTTAGATCCCCCCGCCCTCTGTTAAGGATATTTTAGCTATTTGTCAATTACGTGTACGGGTTCTGTTTACAAGTATAAATTTCAGGGGTATTTTCTGACACAAACAAAATTTCTGGCGGGTTTGATAGAAAAATTCATGATGCTATGTGCAAAACCCTAAAGATCGGGGCAATTTTGTTAAATTTTTTAGATTAAAACATTGGGAGACAATTTTTATCCATGCCCATTTACCCACCTGATCCGCTCATTATTTGGCTCGCCTAAGATTTATCATTTATTTACTTAAATAGGTCTAATAAGACGAGTTCATTTTAAACAAGAACAAATTTTCAAATCAGACCCATTTCAAATTTTTTTATTTAAACCGACCCATATTTTTTTATTTATCAAAACCGACCCGATTTTATAATTAACAGCTTAATCATCATCCTAAACAGTCGGGGTTGCCAACCCCGACTATTTAGGAAGGTGTTAAACCCTAACTAGAAGCCTTAAAATTAATGTCCTAAATAGTCGGAGTTGCCAACCCCAACTGTTTAGGAAGGTGATTAAGTAGCTAATTACAAAATCGGGTCGGTTTTGGTAAATAAAAAAAAGGGTCGGTTAAAAAAAAAAGGGAATGAGTCTGTTTTGAAAAATTCTCTTTTAAACAATACTGTACTAAATAGCTAGTAAACGGGCGGTTTCTATTCACCCCTTTGCCCGCCCGAATCCCCAAACCCAAAACCCTAAAACCCCTTAAATCTCCTCTTTCTCTTTCTAGGGCAGCTGAGCTCCTCATCATCCCGACCCCAATCCCCCTCCTCCGCCGCCTCAACCGCCTCTCGATTCTCAGGTGAATTCCAATCTCAAATCTTTCGATAAAATTCAGTCAAAATTTTCTATCTAAATTCTAAATGCACATATCGTAATCTCGGATCTAGGTTTTCCCCTAAAATTTTGACCGTTCCTTTGATGTGAAATTTTCTGTGTTCATCTGCGCATAAGATTTTTTGCCTTTTTTTAAATATATTTGTTTTTTTGTTTCTTAATTTACTACAATATAGTGTATGCTTTTTTTGGACTATTTTTGTGTAATTAGCTATATTCAAATATGCTTATATATAAGATTATTTTTATTTCAAAATTTAGGTAATAGAAAGGGTAGAGTGATCAGTTAATTCATCAATGAAAAAACAAATTTTAGAAGTTTCACATTAGTTAATTACCTACAAATTGAGCAAGATCATAGAAAATTGGGATAATTCAATGGATTTAAATCACCGTAACTCATGCCAAACTTACAGAGTTTCTTTACCTAATACAAAAGGAATTAAAATGCTATTATCTACAAGATTTTAGTTAGTATATTGGTGAAAAAACATTGTAAGGCATAGTTAATTTACTAATATTTTTAATGAAAAAGGAGCGTGAACTGCTGGTGTGATGTGCTGATTCTAGAATAAAGCCACAGTGAGAGGGAAAGCTATTATGTCGTAAATGAAGAGAGGACCAACTTGCTCACTGATATTTTTTTTCAATGGAAGAATAAACAAGGAGATGACTTTATAAGAGCCTAAAGAACTAAATACCAAAGAGATGCAATATAGTTTAATTCACAAATATTAGCTTACATTGTTGAAGATTCTTCTGATATTTATTTGTTAATATATCGTAAACCTTACTTGCTTCCATAGTTCTTCTAACACAAAGCCTTACTGCTACTTTATAGGAGCGTAAACCCTATGCGCTCCCCACCGAAATTAGTGTTTTGTTAAATAACGCCCTCTTTTTTTCACAACGAAGGGCGATCTCTGCAACTTCTCCATAGTTTTCTCCAATCTCCACCGATTCTCCCATGGGGGGCTCTCGCACTCAGGTCAACAAGGCTCACAAGACTCGATTCGCCTCCAAGGCATCGCGACAAGTTCATAGGACCTCTCAATCAGGTAAGTCAACAGAAAAGGTTTCAATCTTTTTCACCTCCATCGTGTTAATTAGCCCTAATTCTTATCAAATTTGATGCTCTGTAGATAAAGGGCGGATAGCGAAGCCCGACCATCGCAATGCTGTCAAGGGCGCACGTGCTGCTCGCATCCAGCGCAATAAGATGGTGAGGGGAATTAATCCGAGCTAATTTTTTGAGTCACTCAATTGATGGATCATTAAGTTTTTAAGTTTATTATGTGGTTTTAGTTGTGTAACATGTCAAGAAAAGCCAAACGTGAATGTTGTTCAAGTTCAAGTCATGTGACCGCTGATAAATCCTTCAGAATTTAGGAGACAGGGAAAGATAGTTTGCTAGAGGGAATATACTGTAAATGGCATTTTTAATGAAATTTAAAAAGAAAGGAAACTGAGAAATATAGCAAGCTAAAAACGTGAACCTATTACAATAGGGAATATATTGGGTACTAAATCTACCCAAACAAAGTAAGAGGTGGGACTCACCATGTAAAAGGGGATCACTTAACCCTACTACAATATATGTCATTCTGTAAGTCAATACTCGAGAACCAGATTTCCAAACGACAGCAGTCCACCACCAGTTTCCATCGACGGCCACTCATGTGATTGCTGGGTCAGGCTGAAGAGAATTCCAATTGACTTCTCTATTTGAGTTCCTTACTAGGCTTGAGCACTCAGTTAGCTTACAGTTCTGTAACTTGGACCAACGCTTGAAAATTCCTTCACATTTCAACCGGTGGAAGAACAACGTTCATCTTTGAGGCTTGGCATAATTCAAGGAGCCATAATGCACTTTCATATTTGAGAAACTTTATATCTATAATATGCTAGATTTGCATTCTTAGTAGATTCCATGAACATATTTTATGATTTTAATTAATATTGTTTGACGAGATATATTTAACAATTTACATTCTTATGTTTACAAACTTTTTCTAGGTCCGTGATAAAAAACGAGTTGCTCTGTTAAAGGAGAAAAGAGCCACAAGTGGACCGTCAAGTTCTCCACGTGTTATTGTAAGTAGTCCAATTTTACTTATCGATATCACACTTTAAGCTACCATAATGCTTGTATAGGCTAAGAGCTTTAAAAGGCCCAGTGGAGTATATCCTTTTGGTCAAGAAAGGATCATAGCAAGAATGAATCACAAAGAATGCATATCATCAAAAAAGTATTGAAAATTGATGTATCTGGACCATTTAGATTTGTATTATTGCATTCATCTTTTCTTTGATGTATTATTATCAATCATAAAGAATATAGAGCAATTTGAATATCCGTAGATGTATCTGTATGTATTATTGAGAAGTTAGACTAGAGACCTTTAAGATGGTTTAAGAAAAGAAAAGAAAATCACAACTATCTGATATTCCTACAGTGGTTTGTAAGCATAAGTGGAAAGGGTTGGTATGATTAATTACTTTTTGGAAAAAAAGCAGATAGCTTTGAAAGACCCTAATGCATGAGGGATGAAATGCACTTCGGTATCACTTATATGGTACAAAGGTGTAAATATTTTTGCAGACAATCTTATGCATTTTGAACAATGTGAGGATAAGTGAGTAACCACTAAAAAATCCAGTCATTTACCACAAAGAACTAGTTTGGCTTAATTCAGTAGTACTGATGGAAGTTATTTGTCTAGACTCTACAGTGATGATTATGAAGTATTTTAAATGTGATATATACATATATTATGTATAATATATATAAAATATTATATATATATATATATATATATATAGATATATATATTTTTTATCCATTAGATTTGCTTTGAGATTTGTGCTAGCATGTGATGCAAATCAATGCACACATCTCAAAATACCCTTCATGTCTTGCACAAATCTCAAAGCAAATCTAATGGATACAAAAGTTTATGGACAAGTATTTCTATCCACTTAAGTTTATAAGAGCTTTACTCTCTTTCTCTTTCTCTCTCTCTCTCTCTCTATATATATATATATATATATATATATATATATAT